CAGCTCTCTCTTTTAACAAAATTTACTTGAATGTTGGCAGGTAACACACCCTTATGAGCTCTGTACATTAATAGTAAAATATTATAATCAACTAAATCATAGAATTTTAATAATTTCAATTCATAAAACAATAAATTCGATGGATGGCTGTAATTATTTCTAGTAATAATTCTTATAGCTCTTTTCTGTAAAATAAAAATAGGATTTGTGATAGTTTTACCAGCTTTACCCCAGACTTCAATACAGTAAATTAAATGTGGAACAATTATAGYGTTATACAACATAAACAGTGCTTTATCATTGAACAGTTCTCTTACTAGAGTTTTTCCTCTCCACTGTTTGCTCAGGATGGGAGACTGTGATGAAGTGATTCAACGCAGCCTGCTGGTTTYTTCTTTAGATTATTCTTTTTATGTACGGTGCCCTGAGACAATGTTATATAAATAAACTTGAACTTAATTTGTACAGGACTCCAATAGATTTGGCTATTTTTGTTTTTAAACCATTTATATGATTTTTCCATGTCAGTTTTTCATCAATAATGACACCTAGAAACTTCACTTCACTGACTCTACAGATCTCAACATCATCAATTTTAAATTAAACATCTACACTTCTCTTACTGTTACTGAAAATCATATAATTTGTCTTGTCCAAGTTTAATGATAATTTATTTAGTTGAAACCAACTTTGCATTTTCACAAATTCTGCCTGTAAATCTTTGAGTGAAATACTAAAACAGATGCAGGGAATTAGGGTTAAGCTATTTCTTAATATTGTAAAATGTGTCCCTTCAGATGATTCATGTACAGACATTATAAATGTGGAATGATAGCCATGCATTAGCAATCCATTTGATGCATATCTTTAGAAATGCAGCATGTGAAACCAGAGCACTGCACTGCATGTTATAAGATGTAAAGTTCTGCTGTTTTACATGYTAAGTCTTTACTTTACTGACTGGTTCTTTTTAACTTTATATTCATGCTTGATCCTACTCTTCTGCTTCAAGTGTCAGATAAAAGGATCATTTCATCTGTGGTCTTGAACCCTTTTAAACTGTCATAGACACAATTTATTGTTAAAAAAAAGGCTTCTTTCTTTCATTTTTTTTAAATAAAGGCATTCTGTTGCCCTCTATGAACTGCTTTTGTTTGTACATCCAATGAATGCAGCCGTTGTTCAGAAAATGCTCTTATTAGACTGCAAACTCCAAACAATCGGTTTTAACTTAAACATGCACTGAATATTTTCTTGTTCCTCCTCCTGTATCATTCCTGCTTGCTTTCACAACCTGCACATGCAGCCAAATTAACAGTTCGGCTGCCATTATAATAAGCAGAGCTTTGCACCCAGTGCGTTGTTTTATTTTTTAAACAGAGAAAGAGAAACCCAGACAGACAGAGGGACTGGGAGCTCTCTGCAGGGTGTGTCGCTCCAGATTATTTAGCAGGATGAACGGGGCTCCGGGATAATCCTCCTCCTGCTGCTCCTGCTGAGCGAAGRCAAAGATGAGCACCGCAGTGCTGTCTGCGATTCACCACTTCTCTTTCAGCACACTGAGGCTTTAGGATCACAAACAGCAGGTCGTTTCTGACTAAGTTCAAGCCGAGCGGCCTCACCTGCTGCTGCGGTATACAGAGGGTCCTATAGTTTGTTTCTGAAATCTGATGAAACGCTGTAAAGTTGTGCAGAAGGCTGGCTGAGCCGGACCAGAACTGTTCCCATCATAAAGTAACACTAGAAGGTCATAATCCCACACTCCAAACAGGAGGGCAGAGAGTGCTCAATAGTCATGAATTATTGAAGCCATTGTCCCTGTTTGCCTTTCCTCCCCTGCAGGACGGAGGGCTTTATCTGCTTTAGTCTGATTCATCATTAAAAATAAATCAATTCAGGTTTTGAATTAGTCTCCTTTAGATGATAATCCACTTTTTTATGCCAGTCAGCTGCTGTTAACATCATCTGTAACATTTTACCAATATGTCATTAGAAATCTATACAAAGTTTCTTCTATATAAACTATTTCTGAGAAGTAACCTGTATTTGGAGATTCTGTTAATGAATAATACTATCAACAAATAAACTGTTAAGGAAATGCATTATTAAATTTATATAAAAAACATGCAGGAGCTAATGGCATAATACTATAATTTAACATTTTTTAAACTTATGCTAGAACTGTCAACAATAACTATTTGATTTATGTTTTTTTACAATGCTACTTGTGAGATTTATTTATCTATTTAATTGAAATTGTTGTGTTTTGAACTTTAGATGCGCTCCTGTCCTGAAAGGTGGCAATACCCAAATTAGCATTTAGGCTTTTATGCTAATATACAATTAGCATCTACAGCTCACAGCTAAATTATCTGTTTCTGTTCTTGACTGTGATTATTTAAACAAAACTTTTAAAAGTGTAAATATAAAGCACAGAAAGTAAGGAARGGGATGTATATATACAGTGGGGAAAATAAGTATTTAGTCAGTCACCAATTGTACAAGTTCTCCCACTTAAAAAGATGAGAGAGACCTGTAATTGACATCATAGGTAGACCTCAACTATGAGAGACAAAATGTGAAAAAAAAATTGAGAAAATCATTTTGTCTGACTTTTAAAGAATTTTTTTGCAAATAATGGTAGAAAATAAGTATTTGGTCAATAACAAAAG